TTTCTTTTTTCTATTTTTTTCTCTTTTATTTTTTCTCTTTTATTTATTTTTCTCTTTTATTTTTTGTTCTCTTTATTTTTTTTCTCTTTTATTTATTTTTCTTTTTTATTTTTTTTTAACTTTTCTTTTTTCTCTTTTTTTTTTTTCTCTTTTTTTTTTTTTTCTCTTCCTTGAGTGTTCGCCTGCCATCCCGCTCTGTGGTCATCAGACGTCGGAAGCAGGCCGCCAATGGGGACTCTGCTACCGTCTTCACCCCGGGCAAGGTGCCACTTGTGCAAATTGGGAGATTTCGGCCGTTGATCTTTGCTATCTACGGTCAGTATCTCTTAATTTGTGCAAGTGGGACCTAGCCCCCGGACAGGACGCCCGGTCATTAGATCCGTATTTGGTGAACATTTCAGTCCAGATACAGCTGTAATAACCGGGCGTTCTATTCGGGTGAAGACGGTAGGAGCAACACCCCTCCCTCCCCCCTTTTCTTCCGTGTCCCATTTTTTTAACTCTGTCAATCTGTCGGCGAAAGAAGCCGACCGATAATTAGTTGTAAGCGGATTTCAAAATTCGAACGCTGCCGATACGTAACTGAACGACGCAGCGGTCTAGGACGACGCGTGTGAGACTACATCGGTAGCTAGTTGAATGGTATAACGGGGGGGCAAGGCCGTCGGCCCTCTATTCTCAGTTGCTTGGTCGGAAAGTCTGGTGGTGCCGCAAGGCGGATCTGGGGAGAAGCCCCCTGAGGAGTGCCAGGAGCGCAGCCTGGCCGAAACGCGTCGGGGAAATTGCGCGTTTTATGAGAACTGTACATGCGGAGAAGAAATGTAAATCTGTTGGTGCGTGTGCGAGAAGCAATCTATGGCCACTGTTTTCACTATTATATTATGTAAGAAAATGTGAAGAATATGTTTTACGTGCTGCCTGATATTAAAAGACAGTGAGGAGTAGGGGGCGAAGGGCCCTGCTATGTCCAAAGTAATACCTTGGGGGGATTAGAATCATTATATTATCTAAGAAAAAAATGTGGAAAATATGTTTTATCTAGATTATAGAATTATAATATCTGGTAGACTACTTTTTTTTTCTTTCTTTCTAGAATTACTTATATTAGCTAAGAATATATTGTCTAGAATGATTTTATCAGGAATTATATGCATTTTATATATACAATTATCCAGAATGGGCTGGTGATCGAGCTCGATCCGCGTCACATTCCCACGTGGAAAAAATCCTTATCCGACTTCGCACGCTTTGCGTCTGTTGACGAATATTATTTTTTTTATATTAATTTGATAGTCAATTTTCTCCTTCACCTGCATTTTTTTTTTTTCTGTCAATAACGGCTTTCTCCTTTTTTTGCGTTTTTCGCTCTACCGCCTTCCACCCGCGCAGCCCCGCTTCCTTTCCCTCCCCCCCCCGGCGCGCCCCCTCCTCCGGTCTTTCCCCCCACTCCCACTCCCATCGGCCTCATTGTAACGGATCGTAACGGATCGGCTTATTGTAACGGAACGGAGAGAGGGTTCATGTTCTCCGTTAATGGATCGTTGACGGTTGAAGAGGTATGTATATATGCCTACGGTTTACCGGGCAGTTCTGTTTGTGACGATATACGCTACGACTTCGCTAGCTTCCTGCTACGGTTTTTTCCGGTCAGGTTGAGCGGCAGTGGTCGTGGCCGTTACTAGGCGGCCATGCTGTGCCTCTAGTGCCAGCGGCGTGTCTGGAGTGTATTTTTTGGCTGTGACAGACCT